TGGCAGAGGGGCGGGGGCTGGCAAGAGGCAGCGGCAGAGCATGCCTGCTGCGTCTGCCCCAACGGCAGCACCTCCCTGCAAGCAAACCACACGGCACAGCACTGAGACAAGCCAGGAAAAGTCAAAATAAGGGGGGGTTATTTTGAAATAACTGCCTAGAGTTGACCAGGGCTCAGAGGGCTCCTGTAATAAACGATAGCAGAGTACCAAACTCTTGAGCAGCAAGAGGAAGCGGGGAAGCCAGGCAGCGAGGCATGTGGCAAGGCAGTGGCAGAGCTGGCTGGCAGAGCTAGGCAGCAAGGTCAGGGTGAGAGAGGTCTGCGCTGGGACTTGGGTAGGGTTACCATACATCCAGTTTTTCCCAGACATGTCCTTGTTTTCACATGTTAAATTGCTGTCTGGAAAAATTTTTTAGAAGGCAAAAAATGTCTGGGGTTTTTTGTCCTGGAAAGGGGATCGGGGAGGGAGTGGTGGCACGTGTCTTCAATGGAACACTCAGAGCTGCATGCCCAGATCATTCATGACCACTCTGCACTTGGGCCTCAGCACCTAGAGGGAAAAGCGCATGGCTCCAGTGAGACCCAGGGCGTTACCCTCTGCCCCACTAGATTTTTGTCCTTGGCTCTGCAGGAGGTAAACAGCATTGAGTTACAGCAGAGAGGCTGGGGGTGCTTGGTTCTAAGGGATGGGAGGGGCATTTGGATTGGAGCAGGGGGGGGTTGCACAAAAAAGAAATGTTCACACTGCTTATTTTTGCACAAAAATGGCGTGAATAGATTATGCAAATGAAGTGCAACAAAATGCTAATCAGCACTTCATTTGCATACCCTCTGCCATCAAAAGCCGGCAGTGTAGACATAGTCAGAATTATGAACATCTTGGGCATGTTAGTTCGTAACTAAAATGTTTGTAACTGAATATGCCAAGCTCACAGCTGTGAAGAAAAGTTACAAGGGCAGTCATCCCAGGAGACACTGTGCTTTGAGCAAGGCCATCTGTTACCTAGACAGTGGGCACTTTCCAGCAGGAGAACAGATGTCCTGGGGGAGCATTGCTACAGCCATGACCCGGGGACAAGCAGGCATGGGAAGGTGCTAGCCAGGCCAGGAGCCTACAGATTGGGGGGAGAGAGGCTCAGCTTCCTTCTGTGTCCTGCATACACGGGGTCTGGCACTGGCGGTGTTTCACAGAGAGAGAACTTCTATCCCTGCCTGCTGAATGGGGAGTGTGTGTTGGGGAAGTTGTATGTGAGTGGCAGATGCCACTTGCTGGAGAGAGTGCTACTGGGTTCTCATTTTCTTCCTTCCCCCCGGCAGGTTCCCATGCACGGGATCAGTCTCCTCTGCATTGCCGTGCTTGACTGGGAGCGAATGCTGCCTAAGTGCAGGCATGACCCTATGCCATGTGCAGCACTGCTGTGTGGTTCCATGACCATGAACTCCTTAGTGGTGGCTTGTCCTGGGAAGGTGTCCCACCATAGAGGCTAGACTAGAGTAAGGCAGGCCCCTGAAGGAATCTTGTGAGGAGTGAAGGGTTCCTGTGTGAGTGCACCATGGGGCTGAGTGCACCAGACTAGCACTCCATGTGCACATGGTGCAGCCTCCAGGCTAAGAGAAGAACATGCAGACCCTCAAAGTCTGTTGCCTGCCCTGTGTGAATATAGGGAAAATTATAGAACTCACCTGAAGTGCCATCCCTGGGTTCCTGTGAAGCCTGGGAGACAGTCTGGAAGGGAGGGACCAGCTCCAGGGTGAGGAACAGATCCTGGCTGGCTGGTTGGCCTCCTCTTCCTTGTTGTCTGTAACCCTGCCCTCCTGGAGGCTGACGCCAGACATATACTGGCCAGACTCCACAATGGTGGTGGGGAAAGGTGACTGGCTCCCCTCCCAGGATGACATTCAGCTGCTCAAAGTAGTAGTATGTGTGCAGTGCAGCCCTGGAGTGTCTGCTCTGTTCCCTGGCCTTGTGGTAGGCCTGCTGGAGTTCCTTGACCTTCATCTGGACCTGCTCCAGGGTTTGGTTGTGGTTTTTGTCATCCAGGTTGGTGGTGATTCAGCCATAGGTGTCTGCATTTCACTTTCTGGTGAGGACATCCTGGAGATTTCGCTGTTCCCGCCTCCCTTCCCCCCAAACCTCGATGAGGTCCAGGATCTCTGCACCAGTCCAGACCAGATTGTCCTTGGCTCTGCAGGAGGTAAACAGCATTGAGTTACAGCAGAGAGGCTGGGGGTGCTTGGTTCTAAGGGATGGGAGGGGCATTTGGATTGGAGCAGGGGGGGGTTGCACAAAAAAGAAATGTTCACACTGCTTATTTTTGCACAAAAATGGCGTGAATAGATTATGCAAATGAAGTGCAACAAAATGCTAATCAGCACTTCATTTGCATACCCTCTGCCATCAAAAGCCGGCAGTGTAGACATAGTCAGAATTATGAACATCTTGGGCATGTTAGTTCGTAACTAAAATGTTTGTAACTGAATAAAATGGCAGTGAATATGCCAAGCTCACAGCTGTGAAGAAAAGTTACAAGGGCAGTCATCCCAGGAGACACTGTGCTTTGAGCAAGGCCATCTGTTACCTAGACAGTGGGCACTTTCCAGCAGGAGAACAGATGTCCTGGGGGAGCATTGCTACAGCCATGACCCGGGGACAAGCAGGCATGGGAAGGTGCTAGCCAGGCCAGGAGCCTACAGATTGGGGGGAGAGAGGCTCAGCTTCCTTCTGTGTCCTGCATACACGGGGTCTGGCACTGGCGGTGTTTCACAGAGAGAGAACTTCTATCCCTGCCTGCTGAATGGGGAGTGTGTGTTGGGGAAGTTGTATGTGAGTGGCAGATGCCACTTGCTGGAGAAACAGATGTCCTGGGGGAGCATTGCTACAGCCATGACCCGGGGACAAGCAGGCATGGGAAGGTGCTAGCCAGGCCAGGAGCCTACAGATTGGGGGGAGAGAGGCTCAGCTTCCTTCTGTGTCCTGCATACACGGGGTCTGGCACTGGCGGTGTTTCACAGAGAGAGAACTTCTATCCCTGCCTGCTGAATGGGGAGTGTGTGTTGGGGAAGTTGTATGTGAGTGGCAGATGCCACTTGCTGGAGAGAGTGCTACTGGGTTCTCATTTTCTTCCTTCCCCCCGGCAGGTTCCCATGCACGGGATCAGTCTCCTCTGCATTGCCGTGCTTGACTGGGAGCGAATGCTGCCTAAGTGCAGGCATGACCCTATGCCATGTGCAGCACTGCTGTGTGGTTCCATGACCATGAACTCCTTAGTGGTGGCTTGTCCTGGGAAGGTGTCCCACCATAGAGGCTAGACTAGAGTAAGGCAGGCCCCTGAAGGAATCTTGTGAGGAGTGAAGGGTTCCTGTGTGAGTGCACCATGGGGCTGAGTGCACCAGACTAGCACTCCATGTGCACATGGTGCAGCCTCCAGGCTAAGAGAAGAACATGCAGACCCTCAAAGTCTGTTGCCTGCCCTGTGTGAATATAGGGAAAATTATAGAACTCACCTGAAGTGCCATCCCTGGGTTCCTGTGAAGCCTGGGAGACAGTCTGGAAGGGAGGGACCAGCTCCAGGGTGAGGAACAGATCCTGGCTGGCTGGTTGGCCTCCTCTTCCTTGTTGTCTGTAACCCTGCCCTCCTGGAGGCTGACGCCAGACATATACTGGCCAGACTCCACAATGGTGGTGGGGAAAGGTGACTGGCTCCCCTCCCAGGATGACATTCAGCTGCTCAAAGTAGTAGTATGTGTGCAGTGCAGCCCTGGAGTGTCTGCTCTGTTCCCTGGCCTTGTGGTAGGCCTGCTGGAGTTCCTTGACCTTCATCTGGACCTGCTCCAGGGTTTGGTTGTGGTTTTTGTCATCCAGGTTGGTGGTGATTCAGCCATAGGTGTCTGCATTTCACTTTCTGGTGAGGACATCCTGGAGATTTCGCTGTTCCCGCCTCCCTTCCCCCCAAACCTCGATGAGGTCCAGGATCTCTGCACCAGTCCAGACCAGAGCTCTCCTGCATTCCTGTCCAGTGGCAAATGAGGGAGCAGCAGGAGTCCTGGCAGCTGCGGGAGGCTCTAAGGCAGCACTAGGGTCTGTCATGGCTCCCTGGGATGCTGCTGTCTTGCATTGGGATTGCAAAGTTGGCCACATGCGAGAAGCCCTGTTCCTGCCAGCTGGAGTTTTAAATTCTACAGGAGAAAGGGAGTAATGGAAATGCCAGGTGTGGTCAGAAGTGCAGCTAAGAGAGGCCTCTGGAGACCAATTATTTCAAATGACCAGTACTGGATCATCTACACTAACACTATTTCCAAATAATTTCGAAATAGCATTCTTCCCTGAGGAAAGCAGGAGTACAGATTTTGAAATAATTAGTGGGGGGAGGCACTTCTCCCGCAGTGACAGGAGCAGCTTCAAGACGTGCCTCTTCCCCCTCCAGGCAGCTCCATGCATGAGTTCTGAGGTTATAGCTGGGCTGGGCTCATTAAGTGGCTGTGGAGCTCTGCTGATGCACAGCTTAGAGAGAACACGGATCCCAACTTTTTGTCCTTGAATATCTTGCTGACCATGCTCCACTCCCACTTATGTGAAATATTAAAACACATATTCTAGGATTTCAACTCATTCACTTCCCAATATATCTGCATTTATAATTCCCCTCTAGTTTATCACCTGTGCACTTGCATTTGATTCATTACAGGGATACAAGATCTAGTTTTCCGTAGCACTTTTTACTTGACAAGCTTAATGTTTTACAATGTTGATTATAGCTGCATATACAAAAAATCCTTTCATATTTGAGATTTTAAAATTCATGTAATTTGTGTACAATCTATTTACTCATAACAAAACTTGTAAAAGAGATATGAATTATCTATCATTGGCCTTCAAGATCAAAGCTTTTCCAAGTTTATCACTGCTAATACATTTTTGCAAACAGTTATGCCAAAATCTGACTCAAGAGACAATGAAGCTATTAATTGGCAGCTTTTGGACAGGACCGTTTTTTTTTTTTAATTAGGGAGGCATTTCTAAAGGTTGCCTCATGTTTTTTTGCACAGTGGGTGAGTGATGTTTAAATGGGGCAGGAAAAATAAAATTATCAGACTGTTTATTAGTAATAATGCAGGCTGAAACAGACATTATATGAAATAACTAAACATTTTTATGACCACAAAATGTATTTACTTTGGCTCAGGCTTACGTATTACATGAAATAAAGCCTGAGTTGATAAGATGCAAGTTGAGGTGAGCGGGAACATCCAGCTCGGGATACATGTAGCACAGGGTAAACATAGGATTGCCAGCTTTTTGGGTCTATTCCAGGAGGTTTCGTCACATGATATAATGGCATTAATAGTGGATCTAAAACTCATTCACTACAGAACTATCGTTTGCCTTTGGTGGAAATAAGGAGCATTTTATGAATCATAATTTCACATTTTAAGCACACTAGCATTACCTGTCCCCTTGTGACGATAGATATACACATGGCCTCCTTCCTCCCCGCTGCTCCCAGGGGCAGGGAGCTTGGGCTGTGCAGCTTCTTCCCTGCCCGCTGCTCCAGGGATGCCGAGGCGCGTGCGCACTCTTCCCCTCCTCGTGGTAGGGAGGCTTGGTCTGGCTCCGGCTGCAGGACCTCCTCCCTCCCTGCTGCTCCCAGAGCCCAGGAGGCTTGGGCTGGCTGCTTCTCCTTCTACCCCACTCCCTGTGGTGGGGGCAGGGCTGTAGGTCTGCCTCCCCCTAGAAACTTCTCAAGTCTTCTCAAATGTTCTCTGTGACAGATGGTGTGATGGACGCCTCTCCTTTTATAATAGTATATAGACTGCATAAACAAACAATATTGTAAAATCTCCAGTTGTAATTTAAATCTTATTTTTAAACAGCAAGTTTGGGTTTATGTTACTTTGTTAATGCATGTATACATATTTGTGTGTACATGTGCATTAGTTAATTCTATTATTTACAAATACAGAAAATACCATACCATTATAAAATGACAGAAACAGTATAGTAAAAACTCATTGATTAGACTTAAGTCAAACATTATTGTATTTACATCATAGAAGTTGGTTCTCCTATAGCAGAGTGCTTTTGCTCAGAGTTTTTCTTCTTAAATCTGTACTTCAGTTGGCTTCTTGCTGCTTTGAGCAACTCTGGAGACTTTTTGACATATTCATAAAAGTCAGCACATGACATACTATAATTCAGTTGTACCTGTAACTCTGCTTTCACAACACTTTCACTCAGTCTGTTTCTTTCTTTGCTCCAAAGCTGAGTCATTAAGCTGAAGACCCGTTCACAGTAGGCGTTTGAGACTGGAATTGAAAGTGTGAATGATACAAGTTTAAACAGTTGGCTATTTCCACTTTCTGGAATTTGTTTGAAAACTTCTACCCATCTTTGATCTATTTTTTGCTCCTTTGAAATTATTTCTCTTCTTATTTGTTGTAAAATACAGTAATCCTCAAACAGCTTGTCAAAATCAATCTCAATGCAAAGAACTTCAGCCAGCTTTTCAAGATCAGACCATTTTACTTCATTGTCCAATGAGAGGACTGACATTTGTTTAAAAACAGATGTCTTGAAATCATACCATTTCTCAAGATACACAATGCATCTTGACAATGCCTTATCTGCTTCCTCCTTAAATTTCATCTTGTTAGATGGAGAGACATTGCACAAAATAGCCTGAGCTGATCTTCCATAGAACTTGTCCTCTTTCCTTCTCTTTAATTTAGAATGAAGACCTTGCATAACAGAATCTAATTCTGTACAGCTGGCATTATTGCATTCTAGCTTTTTGAGTGCTTCATAAAATACTCCCATTAGGTTATGCAGAAAGTAAACATAACAAAGAGGGAGAGACCGCTGCTCATCCTCACTGAATGCTTCCCATATAATCTTAACACATTCTTCTTCCCCCTCTGATATGAAATATGCCTTTAATGCAGACCAGCACTGTAGAACTCGTTCTACGGCAGGCAGAAGGGACAACCACCTAGTTGGTACATGATGCAGAAGTTCCTTGTACTCAATTTCTACAAATTCAAAAAATGAACTGAGAGATTCTGCCTTTTTAGCAGAGGAAGAGAACTCGCTATACACTTTCAGGACAAGACTTTCAACATCAAAACTCAAAGCTTTCATACCATTTTTAATACAGTTATGAATTACATGGCACTTGCATCCAACCTCAATTATTCTGCTGTTCAGTTGTTTAAGCTTCTGATAAACTGACCTGTGTTTCTCAAAATTAATAGATGCATTATCAGCTACATAAGATGACACACAATTTATACTAAGGCCATTTTCTTCTAAAATATTTGAAATGCGTGCAGCAATGGCCTCACTTGACTCATCGTTATCACGGTAAAAATCAAGCAAGCCATGTTTAATCCCATCTGTCTTGGAAAAATAACGAACAGTTATTGGAAAAAACTTCCTATTTCCCTTATTAGCGGCATCTGATCCAACTGAAAAAAATCCTGCTAATTCAAGATTATTAAGCAAAAGTTCTTGTGATTTTGGTGCCAAAACATTCTCAGTAATACTAGTTGCTTTTGTCCGTCCACAAGACATTCTTCTTGCAATTTCAGAATCTGGTAGAAACCTTGGAAACATATTGTTACCACACTGACTAGCATAACTTAAATGATGAATAACGCCATGGTACGTTTCTCCAATTTCTGCTGCTGTCACTAGATTTTCGGGAGGTGTGTCATTTTTTTTAATAAAAAAGGATGCAATCTGAGGTGTTTGTTTCCGATTTTTCACAGCCTCCTTGTGTTTTGTACATTCTGCATGGATGTTAATCGCTCGTCTTCCTTCATATTTAATGGAAAATGCTTGATGACACAAAATGCATTCTGCTGTAAATTCGTCGACTTTGCGAAGCCAGTTTTTATAGTCAGGGTCTCTACACCAGTTGTCATTGTAGCAACAATAGTACTTTTTCTTTTTTCCAATACTTTGGGGGCTAGCTTTGGAGGAGCCTTTCCCATCCTCCATTTCTGCTCTTCTTTTTTTTTTTATGGAGAGTTCCTGGTAGTTGCAGAGGAGAGGAGACTAAGGAAACTAGACCACGTAAATGTGCCCGCGTAAGCGCAGGCTTCAGGCCGTGCCCATCACACCAGAGGGAGCGATGCGCGCACAGCGCAGCCGACGGGCAGGCGCCTGCGCGTTACCATGGCAAACGCACCCCGGCGGGGTTACTAGGCACGTCGGCTCCTCCACATTTGCGGCCAGTTACCGCCCCGGTACGCTCCGCCGGAGCCTTAGACCACGTAAATGTGCCCGCGTAAGCGCAGGCTTCAGGCCGTGCCCATCACACCAGAGGGAGCGATGCGCGCACAGCGCAGCCGACGGGCAGGCGCCTGCGCGTTACCATGGCAAACGCACCCCGGCGGGGTTACTAGGCACGTCGGCTCCTCCACATTTGCGGCCAGTTACCGCCCCGGTACGCTCCGCCGGAGCCTGAGCGCTAGTTCCCCGCCGCCGGAGCCTGAGCGCTAGTTCCCGAAGGGCCCGACGCCGCGGTCACTGGGGGAGCGGGCCGCCCCTGCCTGGGGGCGCTCGCTCTCCCGGCCTGAGGCCGCTGCTACCCAGGCAAGTCCCCGCCTTGGGTCCTTCTTCCCTAGCGCGTCATTAAAGTGGGGCCTGGTGGCTGGCAACACTGCCTGTCCTAGTGGTAGTAGCTAAGGAGGGTGCCGGCCGGGTATTGGCGGAAGGGGTGCGTCCGAGTCCAGCATTTCCTCTCCCTCCGGATGTACAGCAAGCCTGGCGGGGTTAGTCCCTCGGTGGTTAATATTTCACCATTCAGGCACTTTGCCTGACAGCCCTCTCCGGGGGCCTGTGTCGCTCAGTGATGACGCGCTAGGGCCGCGCCAACAGCTTGCCGGCGAAGCGCGTTAGTGTCCGTTCTTGTGCGCTCATGAACCGCTGTGTGCGGCTACTGGCCCAGCTGCCGGCCCGCTCGAGACCCTCGCCCCACCATGCCGGCGCTGTCTCGGCTGCTTTCCGGAGCCTGGGGGCCCTGCGGCTCCCGAGTCGGGCCGCTGCCTCCTCGTCCGAGGGGAATGGCTGCAGGGGCCCGGACACCTCCTTGTTCGTGCCCCTGCACATGCAGCCCCGCGCTGCGGGCCCGGAGGGGGACATCGGGGCTGAGCTCACTCAGCCGCTCAACAAGAGTAAGTGGCTCTGGGCCGCCCGCCACGAGGAGCGGCTCTGCGTCAGGTAGCAGGCGAACAGGCTTAGGAGAAGTCCTGCATTGTGACAATGCCAGGAAACTTAAAAGACGACGTGTCTGAGGGGGCCAGTCTAGTTCTTGGTGCTGTCATAATTTAGGCCTGTGCTGAACTCTCTTTATCTCCTACCTGCTGCAGAAGTCGTTCTATGCCATGCTGTAGCAAAGAGCTGTTCGAATATTGTTTAGGGACGGCCATAATCTCTTTATGGAATGACAAAAATGTTATATTAAAAGAACCTAAATATATAAGAAATGTGCTTTCCTGACAGTGGCTTCATGACATACTCAACTGATGACCTGGGTTTTATCCGTGAAAGCTCATGATGATATATAATTTCTTAGTCTCTAAGGTGCCACAGAGCTACTCATTTTTAAAGTTACAGACTAACATGGCTACCCCTCAGGTGTTGGTGTGGAGAGATGTAAACTCAGGAGACTCTCAGACAAACAGAGGTTTTGTCAGAAAAGAAGAAATGGGTTGACTTGTGTGATGGTCTATTGTGTATGAATAGCTAAAGTCAGAAGGATTCCAGGATTCTTAAGTGTTTATTTTGTATAGATCTGTGTATTTCTCATGAAAACTAAGGTCACGTCTCCACTTGCTACACCAGATATTGCACTTCTGGCATTCAATTTAGCCAGTTTAGTAAGGGCTGGCTAAATCGGATGCTGAGGGTGCCCCTGCTCTGAACCAGTATTCCTTGATTTGTGAGGAGTAAGGGAAGCCAACGGGAGTACAGGCAGTCCCCGGGTTACGTACAAGATAGGGACTGTAGGTTTGTACTTAAGTTGAATTTGTACTTAAGTCGGAACTGGCGTCCAGATTCAGTCGCTGCTGAAACTGACCAGCGGCTGACTACAGGAAGCCCGAGGCAGAGTTTCTCTGCCCTGGGCTTCCTGGATTCAGCCGCTGATCAGTTTCAACAGCGGCTGAATCTGGATGCCTGGCGTCCAGATTCGCATGAAGCTGAAGCTGACCAGCAGCGGCTGAATCAGGATGCCTGGGGCAGAGCAGCTGGAGTGCTGCCGGGTTGGTCCAGTAGCGCCGAGGAGTGGTGCGTCCATGAGAAAAGCCTGGTCTGCTTGGAGGGGGGCGCGCTACCTGCCCCCCCCCCCAGCAGACCATGGAGACGCGGGCGGCGGGACGGAAATGCACCGCGGTGCCGCCGCCCAAGTCCTCCGCGGCTTTGCTCCGCGTCTCCCTGGTCTACTGGAGGGGGGAGGGAGCAGCTGACCAGGGAGACGCGGAGCAAAGCCGCGGAAGACTTGGGCGGCGGCACCGCGGTGCATTTCCGTCCCGCCGCCCGCGTCGCCATGGTCTGCGGGAAGGGGGGGGGAGGGACGCAGCTAGTGCCCCCCCCTCCAAGCAGACCAGGCTTTTCTCATGGACGCACCACTCCTCGGCGCTACTGGACCAACCCGGCAGCACTCCAGCTGCTCTGCCCCAGGCATCCTGATTCAGCCGCTGCTGGTCAGTTTCAGCAGCGACTGAATCTGGACGCCAGTTCCGACTTAAGTACAAATTCAACTTAAGTACAAACCTACAGTCCCTATCTTGTACGTAACCCGGGGACTGCCTGTACAGGCTCCCATTGACCTTAAACCAGAGTATTAGTATTCTTATTACCAGGGCTCGACAAATCATGTAATCTACTCGTGGTGAGTAGATTACAAACCGGCACAGCTGGCGCCACGTGATCTGCACATGCGCAGCTCGCAGAACCACGCGGCTGGTGAGCAGGACTTGCTGCCGTTTGGCGAGCCCTGCTTATTACATCTAGCTTCCTTCACATGCCTTTGACAAAGAGTGTCTACACACGTTAAAACTGAAGTGAAAGGTGATAGCAAGCAAAGCAAGATAACTAACTAAAATGGCAATAATACAGGTTGAACCTCTCTAATCTGACTCCCTTGGAACCTACCGGTGCCAAACCATGGGAGGTCAATATTGTATAGCAGCATTACCAGCACTTCGACTATTTATTAGCTCTTAGAAGACATTTGGGGTAAATTAGAGCTAAATAACAGCACAGAACACCTAGAGTCAGGACTGGTGGCTGTAAACAAACTTTATGGGACTGGGGGAAACTTGGCCACACTCATGATAAATGGGCATCTGGCTAACTAAAATCATGCTGGACTATGGATGTTGCCATAGCAGAGAGCGCTGGTCTAGACAGTTCAACCTCTAGTGGTCTTTATTTGATGTACATTAGAAATTCATTTTAGCTTTTATTTAAAATTACAACTGAGAAATTATTTAGGAAAAACACATATAATCTGTTTGATTTTTAGTACCCTATGAGCAGAGAACAAAGCCTGTCTTTACAGATTAGTTAAATGCTTTATCTTTCTACAAATAATTGATTACTTTAAAACGATTAAAAGAATTGAAGTCTTTGCTCTAAGTTTGAGGAGAAAGCAGTGCAGGAGCCCACAAAGGCATATCTAGCCTCTGGTCTTCTCTGTATTGCTACCAGTAGGTTCTGTACTTTAAAGTGCAGCAGTAATAGGAAGGAGCAGACCTAATATTTATTTTTTTTAAATGTATCCCTCTCTTTAAAAAACAGAATCACAATTTTCAAATCCTTTCCCTTCTTTTCATTGTTAGCAATATTTTGACATGGTCAAAGCAGGTTGGATTGATTTGAAGCAAGACTCTTTAAATAATCAATTTAAATCACCCCCCCAAAAATTAGTTTTCATCTTCTCCTCTCCCGTTGTCATTTTGATGCAGATCTGATTCCGAGTTATCAAAAAAACTGACTCGTGCTTAGAGTAGGGATATAAAATCCTGTTTAATTGGTTAACTAATTAAACAGAGTGTTTAACCAGTTAATGAATTAAAGCAGGAACAGATGTGGGGGCTGTTCCAGCCTAGTTGCTGTGCCCAGGCTGGAGCGGTCCCCTCGCTGCCAAGGGGGTGCTGATACAGCCAGGCTGGAGTGCTCCACCCCATTCACATCCCTAGTTTAGAGTGCAGTTAATTTTCAATGGGGATTAATACAAAACAAGTATAGGATGATGTTCCTTTGGGAAAACTTGAGTGATGCTGAAGTAAAATGACGTATGGCATCACCATGACCATGATGTTCCAATATAAGGGGATTATGTAGGCATGTGAATGGTTAACTGGTACGGGCTGGAGCAGATCTCCCACCCTCCCCCCATGGGTAGGGGGCTGTTCCAGCCCTGTGGGGCCTGCTGTGGACAAGGACATTCCCACTCGATCTGAACAGTCTCTGTCTGTCTGTGGCAGGCCCAAGTGCACTGCAGTCAACGGTTGCTCCAGCCGAGCTGCCATGGCGGGAGGATTGCTAAATCCTCCCAGGCTGAAATGGCATCTGTGCCTACCCCCCTGTAATCAGTTAACCAGTTAAACATTGTTTAACCAATTAAACAGATTTTGCATTCCTAGTTTTATGTGAAATAAAATTGCTGTCTGCCATGAAGAGGGGCTGCTGGACTCAGTGTGAGCCAGGACTGAGCAATCCCGGCTCGTGCTGATCGCTGCGCTCAATGGCTCTTACTGCATTTGAAATGCAGAGCTGCAATGTGGGTGGCTTCCTGGAGCCAGCACAAGCTGGGACTGCTCAGTCCCAACTTGAGCCAGCTCCTGGATCTGACCCTGCTGTGGTTCTGCAGAGCGGTCCTATCGACTAATCATATAGTTGATACAAATTGTATCAATTATATGATTAGTCTGATAACCACATTTTAACATCCTTATATAAAATAAGAAAATAACAGTGGCAGCTGGCCATTCTAGGTTTCTTTTACTGCAGCTTTCTGTACTTCATACTTGGGTGATAGGTTCTGAACCTTGTTAACTAATTAAACAAGCCATAAGGATTAGCTAAACTAAACTTTTTTTCCAGCAACATCCAACATAGCAAACAGCTTGGGAATTTACTTGTTAAATCACACTTACACTAAAAAGCATAGAGAGTCTTGAAGAATGATGCATTGCAAAGTTGATCCACATCTTCATTCGTATCACTTTCTCCCAATAAGCAGTTTTCCTTATGTTTCATTCTTATAGCTAGGCCCTGCATTTTCTTCTTGCACTAAGGAGGTAAGTGACTAGTCGACTATCTGATAAGCCAAAGCTTATTGGATAGTCGACTAGTCCCTCGACTAGTCGACTGCTTCCCCCTCCAACACCTCCCCCCCGCGGCTCTTAATACATTTAAAATTCAGAGGCGCAGTGGGGGGATCCGGTGTGTGCTGGGACAGCCGACTCCCGGCTTGCACAGGGCCCCTCTGCTCCCCACTGCACACCAGCCTTTTAAATACATGTAAAACACAGGTGTTCAGCAGCGGGATCCTGTGCAAGCCAGGAATCAACTGTCCTGGGCTCACAGTGGGTCCCTCCTGCTGCGCTTTAGCTTTCTAAAT